AAATAATATTTCATGATGCGACAAAATTCCATCAGGTCTCCTCTTAATATTATCTGCATCCGCTAGTGGTTCCCACTTCTTGATAATCTCATTATTTGCTTCATCTAAAGAAACTGGTACAGAGTTGTGGACAATATTTCCGATTGTACTAGCTTTAGATTTTAATATTTCTTCTTTCTCTTTTTCAAGATTTGTTAAACGTTCTTTCTCGGAATTAAGAGATTCCTTCTTGGCGATCAATTCCGAGGCATCTTCCTTGTTCTAAATTTGAATTTATATTTGACGAAGAACTGAGTAAATTAGCTTCAACTAGATCATTTCTAGCAATTATAAGAGAATACCTTTTTTTTCAAACCTATTTCTTTTTGTATGGCGTTCTGTTGTTTGTTGACCTGATCCAAATCATAACGAACTAAAATATTTATAATGCATTTCAACGGAATAAGTTCATTTTGAAAGTTGATTTGATAGGTTTTTTTTGTGATCGTAAAAAGCTTACTTCTCCTCCATTCATCATATAGACCGATGACCTCGTCAACCAACTCGACTGGAGCTCCTCTTTTCCTTTGTGATTCCCGGATCAGCTCCGGATTACCACCCTTGTCGACTTGAAAAAGGTTAAGATCGAGCATTGGTTTTGCAGCGCAGGCAAGAAGGGTGAGTGTAATAGATGAACGCTGTGCAACAATAGTAGATCTTGTGAGTCATTTGAGTACTAATTGGTGTTATTTATTCAAATATCAAGTATCTATATTTTTTTTTTTGGACAGGGATCCTGCAATTGTGATCCTAGACTATGCGTTATATATGTACCGTTTAAAGTAAGAACTGAAAAATCATATTCAGCATTTTTTTGTCTCCTTCAAAGACAATAGTCCAAATATGTACATTAATAAAAAATATTCATTGGTATTAATATAATTAATTTTTATAATCCTCAATCAGGCTGAAGTTGTTTATTTATTGCAAGTATCAATCTTTTCAACTAAGCTCACTTATCTACAACATAAGTCTTTAGATATGATTTATGGGGATGATATTTTGCTTATTTATTATAGAATTAAAATTCATTTTGTATAATAGAGTTATAGCCTGCAGATTATTTTTACAAGATATTAGTATAATTAATTTTTTTTCAGATAAGAGTGCTAGTAGCACATGTATATAATTAATTAAATTTATTTAATTAGATAATTGATTTTTTATTTTAATTACAGTAACTTTTTAAAGTAATGAATAATTTAATTATACAATTATTTATTTTTATTTTTTTATTTTTATATATTTAATTAAGTCATATATTATTTATATTTATTTGTTTCAAACTCTTGAAATAGGTAACCTTAATATGAATATTACATAAAATGTAAATATACTGTATATATTAATGATAAAACTTATTAATATTATATGGTATATCTGTTAACAGCCAATATGGTTTTTAGATGTAATTAAAAAAAATAAAAAATTACTTAATTAAAGAAAAATATTTCTTGTTTATCTAAAATATTACAGCTAATCCTTTATCAAAACTGTTATTTCAACTTAATTTCTATAATTCTAAGATATAAAAATTTTTATTTTTTTAAAAAGATAAAAGAAAAAAGTTTATACTGGTAAAATAAAAATTTATCTAAATCAATTACTAATTTAATAAGAATTTTCTTTAATTTTGAAGAGAAAAAAAACTGGTATAAAAGAAAAAAGGAAAGATTTCAAGTCATTTTTATTAAGAGAATATCTTAATACTTTATTCTTTTACTTTATTTAATTATATCATTAGTTGTAATATAATATGATATAAAATATATATAAGTATATGTCTTATTTATATTTCTTTTATATGTCAATTAATCAATCCAAGATTTTAATTAATTATTAATCAGAATTTTTAGTATAACAAAAAATTTAGGATCAAATTTAGATAAACAAAATTCTTTAAATAAATCAAAAAATTTTTGATATGTTTAAAAGCACTACTATAAAAATATATAATTAATAAAAAAGAATCATATACCTAAGTAGATAGGTTTCTATTAGTTTATTTATTTATCTTAAATATCAAGTGTTCACTTATAGTAGATCCAAGATTTTTATAGAGCTTGGGAAATATATTTATTAATAAATCCAACTAGCTTATCTATTCATTTCAAATATTAGATATTTACTTATGGTGGACCTAAGATTCTTATAGAGCTTGAAAAAGAGAAAGAGGAAATATTAAAATCTAAAGCTAGTACAATCGGAAATATTGTCCACAACTCTGTACCAGTTTCTTTAGATGAGGCAAATAATGAGATTATCAGGAAGTGGGAACCACTAGCGGATGCAGATAATATTAAGAGGAGACCTGATGGAATTTTGTCGCATCACGAAATATTATTC